TATATATATACATATATATATATATATAAAGGGGCCCAGCCAGCTATAGCTGACCATTAAATCCATTCCTGGTCTGGTAGTAAAAACAGAAGAAATACCTTAAACTTGTTTGTGAACAGCTCCAGTTTAGAAGTAAGCTCTTCTGCTCCGTACATAGGAAGAAGTGCCTGGAGGCATTTCAACCTCACGTCTCCAACCTGAGAACACAAAATAAGTACCGTTAACAACTACTATTTCATTCCTTCCAAAATTAATAAAGCATAAAGTCATTTTTCTGGGATTCAAAAATCAAGGCCCAATTAAAAAGAGCTTTCACTACAGAACAAAATTATATCTTTGTATCAATCATACAAAATTAAATAATTTTTTACTTGTTTCTTGAGTTCAAACTGAACATTCCTTCAGTTCCCTTTAGTTTACACTAAGAAAATACAGACAGAATAAAGCTGGGCAATTAGTGGTGTTCGCTAATCAGTTAATCAACGACCCTTTTAATTAATTAGCACAGTGTTCCTCAAACCATGGTACATACAAGCAAAAAAATAAAGAAGAGATACTATCCTGTAGTTAGTAGCAGTTCAATGACAAAAAAGAAAAAAAAAGGTTAGGCAACAGTGGCAGATAGCCTTGGTAGATTTGCCATAACAAAGAAAGAACACATAAGTTTGGTGGCAATATTTTGATAGTTGGAATAACCAAACAGTAATTTCCAGAAACCCTAAATTTGATCAGTTCATTTAACTGTAATTTTCGAGTAATCGGTTAGTTTATGTTATCACAGGTAATCACTTATACTGATTATATTCTCAGCTCTAAACAGAAAAGCACACAGATTGTTTATATTGAATATTTATGCAAAGCTACACACAGGCTGTCTGCACTAACCATCCCTACTTTTGAGCTGACAGACTAGAAGGAAAATAGTGAGTCAACTTCGACCACACTCGCTGGTGGACTACTGCAAATAATGCATCTACGGCCTCAAAGTGTGAAGCAAAATCTGGTAGTAACATAATGTGAACAATAGAACCCCAGATCCACAATCCAGAATATTAGCTACTTGAACACACGTGGCACAAAATCAAATAGATAAAACTGTGTGTAAAGTATAAAGGTCTTAATTTATCTTCCATTATTAAGTTCTTTCTTTAGTCTCACACATGTCAGAGAAATAAAAACACAAATTTAAATTCGTAATTCCTTATATAAAACCTGTAAGTTAATAGTTTCTATTTTAAGAAAAATTAATTTTTGAGCTAAACACAGAACGACACAACACCGATTCACCTTATCATGGAGGTTCCACCCTACATACTTTAGGTAGCTGTCATCTAAGAAGTGGGAGTGGAATTTTTTCATCCATTGGCCAATCTCATACATACAAATAGCCCTAATTTCAGGTAATGTATCCCTACGGAAAAAATAATAATTAAAGTTTGCATTTGTTAAATTATAGACAAAAATATAAGAAAAATATATTAATAAAACCTAGAATAATTCATTAACTTACAATTAAATAAAAAACAGAGAGAGAGAGAGGAACAGTAACCACACAAAATCAACAAACATAAAAACCAACATATAGGTCTTAAAGTTGTTCATTCAAAGATCTAATTTTTTGGTTTATTCAACAAACTACCATATTACACAGTAATTTATCAATTTTTAATTATTTTCATAGTTCACCTTAGACCACTGGAATAGTTGTTCCTAAAATCATTTTCACTTCTCACCCCTGTCAAAATTCTTCACCATCTTATTCACACGTATTAAGTTCTTAATTTTTTTCAGCAACATGTAGTTTTTGTTAGTTACATTAATATTATACCTAGAAATGAAACTTACAGAATGATGCATTTCATGAGACTGGGTGTGTTGGGAGTGGGATATGGTTGTAATACAATAAAGCTAATAAAAAGTTAAGAAAATGCATCAAAACAAAACGGTGCCATGAAATTCATGTTGTAATTAAAAATCTCGTTCAGACAATATTTGTAACGTGATAATTAAAAACTTTATTTCAGCTGACGAAATTATGTTTGTAACAGCCGACTAATTAATGGCGTTAAATTGGTTGTAAGTGCAAAGAGTTGTACACGTATCACTTATTCCTTATTAAATATTAGTGTAGTTTAAATTCATTTTACAAGGGTGACTTCCAGTACTTAAATATATGTATATATCACTTTACAGTGTATATAAACAAAACATTAAGACTAACACACATAAACAAGCCTTAAAGCAGATTTACCTGTAGCGATGGACAAAGACGCTCTTGAACATGTAGGTCAGCATGTTTTTTATTTCTTCCATATTCTCTTCCAGCTACAAAAAATTTAAATCATTTGATCTGGATTAAAAAAATTAAAATTATCAAAATATAATCATTTAAAAAAAAGAAATTTATGTGAATACAACTTTACAATTAAAATAGTATCAAATTGCTTCTTAATGTATAGTGTGTGTGTGTGTGTGTTGTTTTTTATAGCAAAGCCACATAGGGCTATCTGCTGTGTTCACATACAAATTTGCAAGTGCAAGTTTTATACACCCCAATTCCATGACACTTTTTTTACCATTACCAAAAGAACGATTGACTCACAAAAACGTATACTGCAAAAATATCTATCCAAATGCCGTGATTGTACATTTTACTTGAATCTTGCAACAAAACTGTAACCTGGTTAATGATAAAAATATCAATACTAAATGATAACTGTCAACTAATAATTATTTCTGAACTACTACACCAAAAATAAAAGTGTTAAAAACTCAATGGCTTTCAACAGGGTAAAGACAGAAATCTGAATTACTTAGATTTCAATTTAGCCTTCATTATTATAATAAATCAGTGTGACATCACTGATAGGTATATAAAACAATCCTTCAGCTTTGAAAGAAACAAAAAACAGTTCAAATTTACTACAGATGCTCGAGTAGCAGCCTTAGAATGTTTGCTTCTTTCACAAGCAACATGCAAACTTTGACTTACTCATTTGCAACATAAGGGTCTTGGTGCAAGCCATGATTTTCCAGGATAATATTAGCTCTGAGTGATAAGCGATCTTTGAAATTCCATATTAAAAACTTTAAAAAGATTTATTTTCAGCCTTACCAGTTTTCATAAAACATTACATAGAGAAAATAACAACAATTACTGCTGTGTTAAGATTTTGGATCATCAAATTTTCATACATAGTTTTGATTGGGAGAAAAAATTACTGGTAAATATTTACTATGAGAATTAATCTATTCAGCAAAAAAAACAAAGACCAAAGTAACAATGTTTTCGCAAGATAACACATTTACCTCTTGGCGTTTAGTCATCAACATTTCTAGACGTTCTGTTGCTCGTTTATCTCTATTCTTTTGACGCTCAGATTCATACTGTCTCTGAGTGTTGTCTAGATTGATGCTGAGGTTTAAAGCAACATCCACCAAAGCTGTCATTAACTTCATGGCTGTTTAACATCATACAAAATCAGTAGTCTGAACATTAGTAAAAAATATTTCTCCTGAGGCTCTATGGTGTTAGAGTATAAGAGTAAAAGTAGCTTATAAAAAAGTATATGCGGAAATGTATAAAAATTTAAGATCCCATATTAGGATTAGCAAACTGGAACAACAATAACTTTTAAGTAGGCTTAGTAACACTTTTCAGGCCTAAAAAAAACATAAATATCAGCTGGAAAGACTTCCACCTGGAATATTGGATGCCTCTAATACACAGCTCAAAAAATGTCAATTACATTACAAAATATGGTAATTAAAATTTCAACTTGCATAAAGTTTGTCAATAAACTATAACTAACTTTCAATTTTTATAAGTTCAATCTTTAATGAAGAGCAAGTATAGTTTTATAAATAAACTTCATATACAGTTTTATTCTAAGAAATACAATTGTATATTGCTCATTCAATTTCTCATGCCAAGATTTATGACATCAGCTGCACATTAAATTAGAAGAGCATGAAAAATTCTTTTTACATTTTATGCTAAATAAAACTACTATGTATAATTTTTCAAGTTAGTTGTGTTAAACGTTTTACTAAATTAGCATGTTTGACTGTAAATCAATTTATGGTTTACTGATTTTGTAAAAATTGCTGTCGGTATTAGTTTAGCCATGAATCTATGACTGTCAAAAAAAACTTTCAAAATACACAAAATTTTATAGATTTTTTTCATAACTAACATTAAAAAAAAGCTATAGTCTTGCTATTATAAATTGGCTGAATCATAAGTCTACTTTGTGATAAAAAAGAAAAACAGGAACTTTAATCATAAAAATCTGTCAACTAAACAAATTCCTTGTAATGAAATATATATATATACATCATTGATATCGGTATTAAATCCAAAACTAATTCTGTTCTTATACCTGCCAAGGTTGCAGTATGGCGAAAAGCTCGGACTTGCGAGTCTGATAGACCAGTCAGGAGAGAAATCACATTGTCCATGAGATACTGATCATAAATAATGCTGTATTGGCACTGCCTTACGAGCACTTGTACAAATTCACAAAAATTGGAACGAAATTTCTTCCAGGGTGGGCCTGACATGATGAGAGGATAATCCCCACTTTCCTGTAAAGATTATCAGAAAAATGTATTATTATCAAACTAAACAAAAATAAAAGCTACACAATCAGTATATCTGACATAAATTAAGGTTTGTTTTTTCTACTCTGATTCCAACTGTTATGGAATTATGGTCCAAACTTGTTTTCTATGATAGAAAAAGAACAAAAAAACACATTCTCCATACACAATGTATCTTACACTTCATTCACGTATGAATATACCTTTTAGTTACGATAACTTACAAACAGAATATCCATAAAAGCAGCTCTACCTCATCAAATTCTTCAGTCATCTTCCGAATTATCTGGGCATGTTCTAAACCTGCCTGCATTTGTGGAGTGATCCGACCTCTGCATCCAGCACATTCAACCAAAAACTGCATCAAGTCAAGTAGGGCAGTATCTCGGTCTTGTTTATACGATTCTATCCAGTCATCTACCACACACTAAAAGTACACAATCCCCTGGATTTTTAAATCATAATCCTTGTATGCAGTTTTCACCAATACACCTTATAATTTATCTCTTAATTACTTGTTAGACAGATAAAATAAACCTGAATAGATATCTCTCTTTGATAATCATTTATAGTAAAAAAACTGCATTTAATAATCAATAATTACCTTTCCAATTGTAAATCATCATACACGCAAGTGTTTTTGGTGGAAATCAGAAATCCAAAAAATAACTCAAATAAAGCTAGAAAGTTGCCCGGGATATTACTTTCAAGCAATAATGTAAGTATTAGAATAATAATACTTATTCTAATAAACTTCTCCTATTACATCCTGTGATGTATCTTAAAATGAAAAGAAAACATCTTACATGGTAATACAAAGTTTGAAACTTTTTTTTTTCGCTCAGGTGCTGTGAAAATTATTTAGAATAAACTAATTGCAAGAAAATTAAACAAATTCAGATAACATAAAATTGGATATATCATCAAAGTAAATAATTAAATATGACAATTGCCCCATTTTCAATGGTGAAGTAAGTGTAAAGAACTTTGAAACAGCTGAATTTCTGTCACTCAGAAATTGATTAAATAATATAAGTACTCAAATTAATAATTCTTTTTCCTTCAACATCCACAAGGAGGGGGGAGACTACCCTTGGAGCTCACTAGGGATCAAGCTTACAGTTTTTATGAGCTGTTTCAAGCCCTATAAAAAGTTATAGAGAGAACCCCGATTGTCTAAACCAAACATATCATTATCAAGTGGATCATGAAAAAGAGTTTTCTTGTGGACATAAAACACATTACTTGGTGACTTGCACCACTAAATAGAAAATTCTATATGCACAAATAATTATTACAGTTAACATACAAAATACTTGATGAAAACTTTTGAAAGGACATTTAAAAACTATCACAGAAACTTTTTACCGGGAGATTTAAATTTCTACTCCAAATGAGGGAGCAGAATTTCAATCATATTACTTTTTTTTTTAGGAATTTCAGAAAAAGTTAAAAACTTCCCCTTGGAAGTCAATTTACAATCAGAAAAAAAACTGACAGCACCCACTAGTCCAGAACAAATAAATAAAACAAAACTGAAAACTAATCATCAAAATATTTTTGGAACATTTACATGAAACATCAATCCAAGGACAGATTTAGTCTCCTACAAAAAAACTTGAACAAGGGCTAAAGACTGTTTATATAAACAGAGTTGTAAAGCCAGTGTAAAAAAAATATCACCTGTAAAGAACTTCTTCCTTGCTTCACTATTTCAAAGAGACTGTTAACATCTTCTCCTGGAATTTCCACTTGACCTCCACGTCTCTTTCCTGAATCCTTTGGACGACCTCTACCACGACCTTCTATTTTTCTCTTCTTTCCTCGAGTTGAAAAAGAAGGTTCTTCCACTTGAAAGTCATTGATATCATCCACGGTATTACTGTAATAGATAAAAGGAAGATTACTCTTATATATTAAAACTTGGCTATAATTTGTTTTATCCTCAAGCTTTAAAAAAATACCATAGAAGGAAACTGATCACTTTCATTTCAGTTCAGCTGAAAATTCTAAAGTAATAAAATGTTCCCACAACTTACGGAATATCAGGAAAAAAGTCATCAGCATCAACTGCTGGTTCCACCCTTTCTTCTTCTACTTGTCTGGTGCGTTTGCGTGCCATGTTTAGTTTAAATGAAGTACTTTATATATAATAAAACCAACCTAGAAAATAGAAAGAGAGAACTTGACAGCTGATAATGCAAAATATGCATTAATTCTGAAACGTAAACACAACACACATTCCATTGGACTTTTTCTTAATTATCGAATAGATGGATGTGGTATGTAATGGGTACATCAAGTGGAATAAAAGAGAAAGTAAAATATGATATATTTAAAAACAAACATAATATCTCACAGAAGTTGTAAATATATTCATAAGAGAATTGTTGAGAGAAATGGATGAATATTTTTATCTCCGAGGAAGATAAATTTCCAATACTTATAGATTTAGATTATGATGTTTTTCTCTAAAGGACAAGTATTACTTTGCTATTATTAAAGTTTATACTAGTTATTTTAACATATCGCAGTTAGATTGGTTAGGACTGGACACTCGAGTTCTATTTTTGCAGGTACAACTGGGCCTAATTTACTACAACATTAGCTTACTGTTGTTTTCAGGTAGTAGTGCCACGTTACAGGATGCTAAAGTTATTAAAATTACACTGAAATTATCACAAATATTAGCTTACTAAGAGGTAGAAATTATTTATCTTAAGAGTTCAAAGTATTGTCTCTATTATTTGGTACCTACTTGATATGTAATAAACTGTAAACTATTCAAAACTCAAAAACAGCTGAGATGGGATAGAAAAATATATTTAAAAACAACATTGCTAACGTGGCATCATCAGGTATTCAACACTTAAGTACGCTTAATTGGTGACGTCAACCATATAACCTTGAACTAGCATAAGTATAAACGTAGTCCTCGTGTATAATTTATTAAAGGCTTGTATTCTTTTATTAAAATGGCTTCTTTTATCTTACATTTATTAATATTAGGTTCTCGACAAATAATTTTAAAATGTTCTGCACCTTTAAAATGTTGGTAGACTTGTAACAGAGCATGTCCATGCTATTATAATACTTAAATTTATACCAGTCTCCCCTATATAGATAATATTACAGCCCTATAAACTACTTCATTCTCGATAGTAGTCAGTTTACTTCTACTTTTAAATATTATTCATTTTTTTTCCTGATAAAGATACAAATTTTCCCACAACTGGAAGCTCATATATATCCTTTATATTTCTTTCCTAAGTCTTTATATCGTATTTAATAGGCCAGGTATATATAAGAAATTACATAATAAACCAAATTATCTGAATGATTTATTTCTTTTTTTTTCTATCAACTTGTCAGTTCTTAAGTGAAGACGAATGATTATCCTATTAGTGTGATTAACAAAAGTTATATGGTTGACATCACCAAGTAGGTGTACTTAAGTGTTGTGTACAATTGTGCTGAATACCTAATGATACCGTGTTTACAGTGGCAAGACGTTGTTTTTTATATGACATAATTTATCTATCCCATTTTACCTTTTTTGAATTTTAAATTTTGTAAAGTGTGGGATACCTCTAACATTTATATTTAAACTGTAAACTACTTAAATTAACAATTAGTTATGTTTATCTGTAACTTATAAGACAGTGTATATCACAGCTACTAGTAATTAATAGTATTAATTAATAGGGGATTTTAGTGTGAGATTAATTGCATAACTTTAGTTAAATATACAATTATAGGGTGGGTATGTTGGTAATAGAGATTAGTAAAGATTCAATATGTTTATAGTTGCTTAGGGATAAGTGGAGTGGAAATTACGGGATATAACAAGTGCCAGGACTGAGTTATGTCTGAGATTTGTGGACTTGATTGTGATCAGAAAGATACAGTATACAACACTTAACAGTGTTTGTTACTTAAGGATAAATAAAATATACCTTTGGTAAAGATTCAATATGTTTATGGTTGCTTAGGGATAAGTGGAGTGGAAATTACGGGATATAACAAGTGCCAGGACTGAGTTATGTCTGAGATTTGTGGACTTGATTGTGATCAGAAAGTTACAGTACACAACACTTAACAGAGTTTGTTACTTAAGGATAAATAAAATATACCTTTGGGAAAACTGTGCTTTTAAAGAGAGAGAAAACAGCAGGTCATAAGCAGAAATTGATGAAGTAAAACAGAAAATGGATAGAGGTAAAGGATACTTTAAGCAAGGGCAAGAATGAAAATTCAGGATTTACAAGGTTGCATAGTAGTAAAAAAAAATTGTGTATAGAGATACGTTTATTTAGCATTCAGGAACTAGACTCTAACAGATTTGGATCTCTGGTTACTTGCAATAAGAAATGAGATGATCAACAAGTTTACATACTGAAGGATTTTAATCCTGCTGTTGCTAGGATTTTATGTTCTGTCTAAAGAAATATTGAATACAAATCTAAAGTGGTTATAATTTCATTGTTTAGATGTCAGGCCACATCTGGAGTATTGTTTTCAGTTTTGGGCTAGTTACCTTACAGACGTCACTGAACTGTTGAAGAAGGTTCAGAGGAGGGCTACTAGAATGATACCTGGGATGGAAAGGTTGATGCATGAGGACAGGTTAAGATCTCCAAACTTTTCTATCAGGTATAAAGGATCTGATTGAGGTGTTTAAGATTGTTAAAGGAATTAATAGTGTTGAAGCATATTCCTTTTCTCATACTTATTGTTGAAAATGGTAAAACTAGAGTTCATAAATATAAATTTTAGCAAGGTAGGATTCATCTTCAGCCGAGAGAGCTTTATTTTTCAAACAGGGTAGCTGGCCTTCAGAAGTGGTGGAAGCAGCCAATTTAAGGGAATTTAAAGGAAGAATTGATAGATAGATAGAAGTGGCTTTGAATTTACATATATGTATATATATAGTTTAGTGAAGGGAACATACTAGATGGATGAGCAGGTTCTCTTTTGTCCTTACATGTTATTTTATATTAGTGGCATTTTTTTGATTTCTGTACTGCATTTTGAATTTGAAAAAAAAAAATTCTGAGACCGCACTCATAACAAAAATTGGGTTTAGTATTTGACAAGAATTTCAAATGAGCGAGTAAAAAGGTTTGAGAAAAAAAAAGATTTTAGATGCAAGTACAAATTTTATGTATATTTTTTATTTATTGTTACAAAAGTAACTGAAATGTGCTAGGATGATATGGGGGTTGAAATCATCAGGATAGATTAAGTCCTCTTAGGAAAAGAATGGTAAGAAGTAATCTTACTGAAGTTTAAAAGATTATCTTGGACATTGCTTCCCAAACTTCAGTCATTTGCATAACATCTTCACGATTTTTGCCATATCTCCGTACCACCTGTATTATTATTTACATTTTACTTAATATTTGTCTTTAGATCGACTCACTTTTTTATTTAAAGACATTTATTTTAAAAGGAAATTTCATAACACTAAGATAAATGGAAAACCAATATCGCTTACCATAATATTTATTTCAAAACATTATTTTTCTCATCTCAAAATGATATTGTTATAACAAAGTGTACTAGTTGATCTGCACACCCTCTGAATAATAGCCGATGTTTAATTGTCGGCAGATAATGCAATAACCGTGTTGAAATGTATTTTTTCTTAGAATTTTTTTTCTAGTACACATTACAATAAATATATATAACTATTAAAATAAAAAAGTTATCTGTGTACCACCAGAGGTACACGTACTACACTTTGGGAAACACTGATATAGGGGATTGATTTCTTTGTGCTGTATACTGAGAATAACAGAAGATTACACATGTTTAAGATTTGGAAAAGATAAACTATACTTCAGTTAAAACAGTTTTATTTTTTCAAACAGAGATTGGTTTATGGTACGAGTTACCAGCTGCAGTAATAGAGACCAGCATTTTACAGCAATTTAAAAAAGGATTCAGTGATTTCCTAAAAAATAATGGGTGGGTGTTTAAGGGCAGCAAAGATGTCTACTTAACCATATCAAAATACAAATACATATAATATTACTGTACAAAAACTGGACCATGTCTGTCAGTCTGCTAGCATATTGCCTAACAGTGCATCCATCTGTCAGTCCAGATGTTCCTTAAAGTACAAGGTTTTTGTAGGGGTAAGCGAGGGGCAACAACAAAAATATTCCCCATCAAGAGATTGATACTTAATTTTAATTATTTTTTCAATGCACTGCTTGCAATTAAAGTGGGTTACTACATTTCTATAAATTAATTGGGTGGGAGTAATCAGCCAAGATACATGAAAGGCCTTGGACATTAAGTATGGAAACCACCCGTGTTAGGGTATCACCTTAAAACATATTCAAAGCTCCAAATCCTTAAATTTATTAATGAAAGACATGTTTCTTGAAATGTCTTTCAACTGACACAAAAATGGTTTAAATAGCTACAACACTAGGATTTATATGGTGAAGTAGCACAGGTTCCCAAAACTCAGATGTTAATGCAAAAACATTTCTTGAGGCTAAATCATAACAGAAAATAGAATGAAAAACTTAGGGAATAAATGATCAACAGGAAACATAAAAAATAAAATAAAAGCAGTAAACTGAAATAAACTTACATTTTTGCAAATTCAAACTAATTTGTGAAGCACATTGACAGACATCTGTAAATGGAACTAGTATAACATATTTTAGGCCAAATGCAGAATGCTTAGGTGAGCCAATGAAATGTTGTTATGGTTTAGGTCCTGTAATTTGTTGTTATTGAAATCTATATATAAGTAAATTTATATATAAGTGTGTATGTGTGTGTTTTATAGAAAGCCACATCGGGATATCTGCTGTGTCCACCCAGGAGAAACCGAACCCCTGATTTTAGTGTTGTAAATCTGTGGACTTATCATTGTCCCAGTAAGAGTAAGATAAATACATATTTGCCTTTTTTCTTCAATTCCTTTTTAAGTTTTTTCAGAACTAAAAAAATGTAATTCTTGAGTGCTCAACAACACTAATATTTTTTGTGACTTCTAATGTACTGAAATATACCTTGTGCATCATCAAACATTAAAAACTTTGTTTTCTTTAGTATATACTATTTAATTTGAAATAAAAATACCAACTCTTACATCTATGTAAACATTGAGCTACAAAACTTACTTAATAAACGATAATATATATGCACGTATATCCTCAAAAACAACCATTGCAGTTGGTGTTTTTGGTGATATAATTTCTAAATTAATAATATTACTAATATTAGTATTAATACTATTACTAATAGTAATACTAGTTATACTACAGTCTATAGTATATCGTTTTTCATTAACCCAAGTTTTGATTAATGTGCTAAAATTAAGCGTGGATTATCTTAAGCTTAAATCTTGAACTACAATTACTATTTTACTAAGTGGATTTGGCAATACCTTTTATACCATTGGCAATAATAAACACACAAGTTACAGTATTATAATTTGTAGTACACATGCATTAGTCGTTAGGCCTACTACTATTAACAACAGCAGTAAGTTCCAGTAATAAGACCTATTAGTATTACTATCAACAGCACATAAATTATGAAAAGAAAAAAGGTCGAAAGAATAAAGTCCATATTTTCTTATCTATAACCGTTTTATTACTCAAATTACTCGATCATTTTGTCACACTTATAAGTATTCCAATATTCAGTAAAAATAATTAATTCATACTTAAATTCCGAGTTACGATAACTTACGTTAAATTCGCTGTTCAACGCGCCATGAACCAACATCAATATTTAGAAGATTTGGCGCGAAAGTATTAAATTATTTTTAAAACTACTTTTCTTTTATCGTTGTTTTTTACCGTCAACAACTTTCGTTTAGCTTAAGTACCATAACAATTAATTTATATATATATATAT